AGGCCATCCGTTGTTCGGGGCCTGACTTTCTCCACCCTCCACCTGCACCACCGGATTCACAGTGACTAGTCTAGTCATTGTGCCCTGTACGTTTGTATCTTTTCCTTTCTCTTTATTTTTGTTTTTGGTTTTGTGTCTTGTTCTTCTCCTTGGTTGGTTAATTATATGGGTAAATTTCCTCGCACCGATGATCGACAATAGGGACATTGTTCGATTTTAAGTGTGGGGGAGTTTTTACATGATTATGTGCTTATATGGTTGACCAGGTCTAGGTCTTGTAGGTTGTTTTCATTATCTATTTTCGTTTGAGTGTCTTTTCTTGAGTCCGTTTGTGTGTTTCCCGAGTACGGATTATAGTGATTTTGAGATTTGTTGAGGATTGTTGATGATGTTGAGGAGATGTGATGATGATCATGATTAGTATGCCTTGATGAACTTGATGTTGCGTTTTGTTGGACATTTATTTACCCTATGAGAGGTTTGAGACTTATTTTGTTTCTTGAGAGATATTGGTCGAATTCTTGTTGATCAGAACTTGCTTTTAGTCTGTTTGAAATGAATTGATTGAAGTAGTGAATTGTGAAAATGATTGAGGCATTTTTTTTACATTGCTCGTTTAGCCTTTTTCATTGACCCTTGAGATTATATTTCCATTAGTAGCCCGTTGAGCCTTAAACTGTATTTCTTTTCAACCGATTTGATTGAACTATTTGAAGATTTGACAATGAATTTGTTATGATGACGGAGCTCTTAATATGTGTTTGGAGAAGGTGTATAACATGCTTGAATTGCATTTTGGGTGCTTGACAAACCAAAAAATAAAAAAAATAAAAAAAAAATAAAAAAGGGGACTCACAAGACAGACGAAAAGGATTCTACTCCGCTTACTCGTGGAATTTTTCACGAGCAATGAGTATTGGGAAACCACTCTAGGAAACTTGGATGACCTCCAATGTTTAAACCTAGAGAATGTCATCCTTATGTCTCGGTCTTATTAGGAAAAAGCAACTCCATTTGTTTAAAAAAAAAAAGAAGAAGTAAAAAAAAAAAAA